ATCGTCCAATCATCTACCGCGGAGGCACATCCACGCCAGCCTTCGAGACTATAAAGGAACAGCCCAACGGACTGATGGCCAGTGGGCAAGGTGACAGGAGAAGCGACATGTCTTACAGATGGCTCTTTTCTTGCGTGCAGTACTGGCTGCTGCTGCTGTCGCATCACGGAATACCGGCATGCGAAGGCGCGTACGGACATCGACACGGAACCACCATTCTTCAAAACTACGTGCTCGAAACGCTGCCAGTCATCCATATACCGACGACACCTCATCAAAATCTGCACAAAGACGTGGTCTTCGACCACGTGCTTGATCGTCCAATCATCTACCGCGGAGGCACATCCACGTCATCCTTCGAGACTATAAAGGAACAGCCCAACGGACTGATGGCCAGTGGGCAAGGTGACAGCAGAAGCGACATGTCTTACAGATAGAACACGTCATTTCAAAGCATATAAAAACGTTTTTAGATGCTTATCAAGTACTTGATAGCAAGCAGCACGGGTTTAGAAAAGGTTTATCTACCATTACTCAATTAACGGAACTGATTCATGATTTTTCTTCGACTCTTGACAATAGAGGCCAGGTCGACATAATATTTTTAGATTTCCAGAAGGCCTTCGACAAGGTGAATCATAATAAGCTGCTTGTTAAAGGGGCGGTGCATCGATATTCAATTGGAATGTTTTTCACTTTACACGAGCTTACTGGCACTAGTGCGACTCAAGGATACTCGCACGCAACGCCATTGATCAAGGAACCCCTTTGTTGCGCTGTATTTTCGAGGACAAAACCGAGCGTTTTCATTCAATCTCTCCTTCGCAAAACCTGATGACGTAGCTCGGCGGTAGCAGTACCGCCCAGTGACGATATTTGAATGCCGCTCATAGATTGGACCCGAGCACTGCGTGGGCACTCGATTTGGGCTCGTGATAATCTATAGCTCGAGAAGCATTCGGACAGTGTCCTGTGTCCAATCGCTGCAAGGACAACAGCCGAACCATAGCAATGTTCAGAACGCAGCGCGTGTCCTGTGCGTTGCCAACCCCAGGGCATGGCTATGATCAACATTGGCGGCATATAATCGGCTCCAGGTCACGTGGCCGCTTGTTCTGGCTGCAAGTTGAGGGGGTGAACTCTGCTCGTTTTTCTTTATTTTTTTCGGCGACTTCGATTGCGTGTGGTGAAAAACGAACGGGTATTTCACAGGTCATTAACGTCAGGGATCCGTTCTAAGCGGTATTTGCGCAAAATACAAAAATCGTTGCATCGCCCCTTTAAGCTAGAGCCTTTGCTAAAGAATCCCACACTCCTGCGGTGGATTGAAGCGTTATTGACTCTTAGAAAGCAGTTTGTTAGTATTGATGGGCATGATTCGATGCTACGAGAAGTGCACTCGGGAGTCCCACAGGGATCTGTACTCGGACCCTTGTTATTTTTAATTTTTATAAATGACGTCCTTCGTGACATTACTGTAAAAGCAAGGCTCTTCACCGATGATTGCATTTTATATAATTATATAAACGATGACAGTGATTCCATCGAGTTGAACGGTTGTTTACAAAAAATTAGCAAGTGGTGTGAAAGCTGGCAGATGTCTTTAAACCTGGAAAAGACCGTTTGCATGTCAATGACACGTAAGAAAACTCCCGCGGTGTATAACTACCACTTAAACGGAAAGACTTTGTCTAGAGTAAACGAACTGAGATGCTTGGGGATAACTATAACTAGCGATCTTCGATGGGACAATCACATTAATAATATAATTAAGAAAGCTACAGGTAAACTTTGGTCATTAAGAAGGTCGTTAAAGGTGGCCACTCCGGAAACTAAACTGTTAGCTTTTAAAATGATGATAAGGCCAAATTTAGAATATGCTAGTGAAGTGTGAGACCCGTGCACAAAGAAGTTAGTATTAAAATTAGAGAGGATTCAGAAATTGGCGTTGCGCTTTATTTTTTCAAAGTGTAGGAGGCTAGATTCTCCAACGGAACTGTAATCCAGGGCAGGAATCAGTCTACTGGAAGAAAGGCGGAGGAATAAACGCTTGAAAATGCTTTACTTAATTCTAAACGGGACATTTCTGCTAGACAAAGATAGACTGATAAGACACCATACCTCTAGAATTACTCGAAACAAACATACTAGAACACTTGAAGAATATCGTTACGCCAAAAACTGCTTTAAAAATTCATATTTCCCTCGAACGATAAAGGAGTGGAATGCGCTACCAGAAAGCACTGCTGCAGCCAACACCTTTTCTGAATTTATGAGAGGTCTGCAGAAGTTATTGTAAAAATTATGTATCTAAATCTGTCACTCACAGTCCTTTGTGTATTTCTTTTTTGAGTGTGTTTCCGTTGTGTCTGATAATATAACCATAAAGTACGCTGGTAATGTTATGTTGTACACCATGTTTTGCGTAACTATTTTATGTTCACTTTTGTTGCTCACCCCTATTACGGTCCCCATTGTACGGAATAATAGTATTGCCAAATAAATAAAATAAATAATTAGTGGAAATAGACATATGGTTTTTATTAAAAAGTTGCTGAGCGTTATCGAAAATCACTAAATCAGTCATTTTGAGAAACACTGAGCTCGTGAGAAGAGTAGTAGCGCACTAAAGTTACCACTCGTGGACCAGGTACAAAGCTAGCGGTTGCGGTAAGGCGCCCGCGCGATTTTTCGGCCTCTTATCTAGCCCCTGCCTTGTACCTGCTCCACGAGTGGCAACTTTAGTGCGCTACTACTCTTCTCACGCGCTCCAAGTCTTTCTGAAAATGACTGATTTATTGGTTTTCGATAACGCTCAGCAACTTTCTAATTGAAACCAAATGTCTATTTTGAGTAATTAAAAAGTTAACTAACAAATTTTAATTAATTAGCTGGCTAATTAGTATGTTGTTTTTTTTAATTCCTGACGTCCGCCGTGGCTGGTGGTTTGTTCCCGAAGACAGCTTCTGTTTTTTGTGGCACGTGTTTTTTGATAATTTTTTCCCGCCTTTTCACGTACCTAGAAGGTACGTGAAAAGGCGGGAGGTACGTGAAAAGGCGGAAAAAATTATGAAAAAACACGTGCCACAAAAAAACATGTGCGGCCTTTTGTTCCCTGTTCATCGGGCGTTGTACATAGCATTCCTCTTTCATGTGGAAGATGCTAAGTTGGACAGACGGGACGGTGTCTGAATGACCGGCTACGAGAGCACAAACTTTCTTTAACATTCACTGTAGGAGGTCACCTTTCGGTGCACTGTAACACCTGTACGTGCACACCATTTTTAGAAAAACACATCAATCATTGGCCGCTTTAAAGAAAAACAAACGCGCGAGGTGCTCGAGGCGTTCACCATCTTGAGCCTGGCCGATCGCTACGTTAGTCAGCCGTCCGTAGCTTTGAGCGAAAAAGAAGTGGCGTTCTTGCGATCATTTGACTGCGACTGATCTGTTTACCCCCTGGTGCCGTTGTCCCCTCTAAAAATTGTGCTTCATCTTTTTTTTTCTTCACTTAATATACCAGAGTTGTGAGTGCGCGCCTGTCTGTGTTCTGTGTTCCTTCCTCGTTTGTCCTCGTCTCTTTGTGCGCAATCTTTACCATGATCCAGGATACAGTATTATTATTCACGTTCAGATGAAAGAGTTTGGATATTACTCTATTATGAGGAACGCGGTCAAAAGCTATTGAGAAGTTTATGAATATTGCGTCAGTTTGTTTTAAAGAGTGAATGTTACAATAAAGAACGTAGGTGAGTTCGAATAGTTGGCTAATACAAGATAGATTTTTGCGTAATCCATGCTGAATAGAGAACAGCAGGTTGTTACTATCAAAATGTGGCATTAAGTTGCTGAAAACGATGTGCTCTATAATTTTGCATGATACGCTAGTCAGTAAAATAGGTCAGACTTTTACTTAGTTCATTCGGATTCCTTGATTTGAAGATGGGTACTGCTTTCGCATTTAGAGAATCAGGCGGCAGTTGGGAAAGAGATACCGATTGTTCAAAAATAAAGAGCAGCAATTGGGCCGATGCAGCTTTTGTCATTTTTAAAAGTCTGGACTTAATTCCGTCACAACCAGGTGCAAAGTTTAGAGGAAGTCGCCCAATGATATCCAAAATTCCGTTTATGGAGAGGTAAATATCGTGCATGCCCATCGGGCTTTCTAAACTACGTAGGAGGGGGGCTCAAAACGTTTCACCCGTAAAGATCTGAGCGAAATACGCGTTAAAGGTCGAATGAATAACTTCAGGTGATATTAGGTGATCTAGCGGGTCTACGGCAGGACGCTTGGCACCACTAAAAGTAGGATTGAGTAGGGAGAAATATGTTTTTGGTTTTTCAGTTACTAGCTCTCTCAGGTCATCATTGAAAAAAACAATTGCGTTTCGCTAACTAGAATTCATGTCTCCACTCTTTAGAAAACGCTTTACAGTGAAGCCATGTGTCATCAATGTTTGAGTTCACAGCTTTTCGGTATAAACCTTTTTTTTTTCTTATGTAAATGCGCTTTATCTTCACTGAGAACCAAGGCGCGGATAAGTCGGTGGTAAGTATTTTTTTAGGAATAAACTTATTCGCAGAGCTAAGCAGCATGTTCCTGAAGATAAACCAATTCGACTGTATCGACCGATCATAGAAAGGGGTGCTTCAAACCTGCTCCACGAGTGGTAATTTTAGCGCACTATTGCGCTTGTCACGCGCTCAAAATCTTTATAAAAATGACTGATTTAGGGGTTTTAGACGACGCTCTGAAAGTTTCTAATTTAAACCATACGACTGTTTTCAGTACTTAAAAAAGTTAATTCACAAATTTTACTTAATTGGCTGACTGATCGTTATGATTAGCCCAATATACAATGTCCCCCTGGCCATACAACTCACCTACACAAACCGCATAATTGTAGCTTTCACAGCCTTTTTAAGACAAACCTGTCAAGCTAAGAAAATACACCTGTATATATATCTATATATATATTCTCATGTACATGTGTTTCTAGCCTTTTCAGTTCCGATTATCTGGGTTACTCTGACGATGGGCTTTGTTGGAACTTTATACACGGCATTGGTGAGTAAAAGCAAGTAGAACATATACATTCGATAGAGAATTTGTATGCTAAAAGTTACACCCTTGAAAATGCATTCACTATAAACATGACAAAAAGGAAAGCTAAAGTACAAGGTTCATTTAGAAAGCTTGAGTGACCATTCCAATATTTTAACCCAGAAGCAAGAACTAATGACAAGAGAACAGCGATAAGTACAGTGAACTGATTCCCTTTGAAGCGCGCAGCGAAAACGTCCGCGTCCTGAGAGCAAAAATGTGAAGCGTAGAAGCAAAAATTAAATCCAGGCCGCTGTAGTTGCAAAATATTTTGTTCTACGTAAATAATTTTTTCTCACGTCATAGGAATGATCTAACCGAGCCGTATATTTTTTTTACTTGCTTCTTGAATTAATTACTGAGTTATTGGTATAACACAGAACTTAAACCGTAATAAACAACGCAATAAATACAAAAATGACAGAGAAAAGTAACGGGAAAAGAAACGTGTAATACCCGTCTGGCAGCGCCATATAAACTACGACATACAAACAAGAATATGTCAAGCACAACAAAAAATAGTCGCCGCGAAATAAACATTAGCTGGTGTCACTGACAAGGTGAGAACGGCACGGAGTAGCTTCAGTTGTCCCACCTCAAGTGCAAACCAATGCGCCGAGAAACAAAGAGATGAGGGTGAGAATGTCCCCGCGGTAGCTGGCTTTGCCACCAATACACTCGTCGAAGAGGTTACATCGCGAAATGTCGGCGTCCGGTCTCTGGCTGCAGGGTGGCCAGTTCCACTTATTATAAGCGGATTTGGGCCTCTTTTTCACGGAGTCGCTTGCGGATTTTTCCAGTCGCTTGTCGCGTTTTTTTGGGCTTATTCGCGTTTTTCCCGCAAATATTGTTATTTTATTGATCGTCATGCACAATGACAGCACGTTTGTACTCAAAAACGTGGTAACAGCATGAGCGTTTGGCGCCGCGGTTCGTTGGCGCAAGCTACCGTCAGTCATTGTATTTTGCGCAAAGTGGCTTCGAAGTTGTCGAAGTATGGCAAAACATATTGTAAAGAGTGGGAAACGGAAATATAGCTTAAGGACTGGCTGCGACCAGTCACCGGAGACGATAACAAAGCAGCGTGCAAGTGCGAGATCCGCGCTCATCATGCCACCCTAGTTGAGCACATCGCAAAAAAAAAAAAAAAACACGTGAGGAACTCTCGGCCACATTCCAGTGCACGTTTGACTACCATGGGCTTCACCAAGTCGTCGCCTCCAAGAACGGTACCAGAAATGGAGCTCAAGCTGGCATGTTATAGGGAGGCTCAATAGCATGTTACTCAGCGTGCCATGCCACTATACGGCGGATGGTGGCATATCACGCTGACTTCGTATTTTAGTGAGTTCACCTTCGTATTTGAGCCAGTTCTCTTTCTCATTTTATTATTAATAAACTATTTTCAAGAATGTGTGCATTTATTTAACTTCCGCTTGTTTTGGGCTTCTTCACGAAGGCCACGCCGCGTTTTTAGACTTGGTTGGGGACGACTCTTTGCTTATTCGCTCGGCCGCATCTGGCCACCCTGTCTGGCTGTCTCGTTCTAACGGGTTCGATGAGTGCACTCGAGACAAATGCAGCAAGCTTTAGGTCTACCCACTAATCATTCGAATCAGAGCTCGATGCTCTGACGTTGCCGAAAAATGGCGAAAGATATCCATCGCGTTTGGAGGCTGGACGTTTGGGGTGCACGCCCCGTTGTTCTAATTTGCCTGTGATTGGAATAGCACACCAAGACACGAATAGATATCGGAGTTTCTGAAACACGTTTGCCTAAAGCAGCAATTTCGACGGAAGACCTGTCTGAAGGCTAAGCTCTTGCTACCTTGGTTGATATCATTCTACTATTTCTACGCAGGGTGGTCTCCGTGCGGTCGTATGGACCGATTGCGTGCAGGCTCTGGCTATGCTGCTGTGTCCTCTGACGGTGATCAGCAAAGTCATCTACGACGCCCACCAGCCAAGATTCAGACTTCGTCCTTTCAATGAACTGAATTTGAAGGACTATATACTCAGGTAAGATTTAATGCTAATTATTTTGTGCAGCGATTGTATTTTAACGTCATCAAGATATATAATGATAAACGCTGTAACGGACGCTCTAACTGACGCTCTAAAAATTCCCCATGCACAAAGGAGAATGCTGGGAACACACATAAACGCGTTGCACGTGCTCGCCTTAGCTCGATCAAAAATTGAAAGAAAATGACCAACAAGGTGCCGTTCGGTTTAGCCTTTTGCTGACAGTTTTAAGTTTTGAGCTGTAAGCTCAAAGCTGTAAGTTAAAATCGGCATCAGTCCTTTTTTTATCCCTGAAGATGAGGATTTGCTTATTGGTGCCGGACTTTATTTTTCCGAAAAAACAAAAACAAAACAGCTGTGCGTGCTTCAAGTAGAGTTGAAGGGTCTCGTTTGTGCAGTTATTGTGAAGGTCCAGACAAAAAACGACCTGTGGAATATTAAATGGGATAATTTGGCTTCTTAACAATGTGTGATTGATCTTAAAACATATATGTCTAGATGGCGCACATCTCAAGTAAATAAAAATATAGGTATTTGTTGATTTGTGTAGGAATTACTCGATTTTTTTATGGTATAAGTCTATGCACGCTTGAAAGTAACAGTTGCCATGGTGGGTTTCTGCAGACAGCAGACCTTATGTTTGCGCAATATTGAAAATAAAATTTTCGATAATATATTTTTATTCCACCCTTTTGTCGGTTAGAATACACTCTACAATTATCAAAATTTTTTTATCTATATAAAAGATGCTAAAGTTGATGTTCGTTGATAGACAATAAAGATTCTCTATTTTTTGGCTTAAATCAGATTATATTTTTATGATTTAAAATATTAAATTCATTGCCTACGGGAACCTTAAGCAATTAATTCGAATTGTCAACGATCCATCGGGTATAGACTGTATAGCTTGAACCAAATGACGCATTCGCCTATTGATGAGATCGCATGAATTGGTATTTTAACTGATTACGATGAAATTTAACACATTACCTCAATTTTATGTTGAATTTGTAGTATAAATAAGAAGCGACTAGTTCATTGACATGAAAAATGACAGGATAAGGTAGTTTTGCATCTGAAATGAGACTATCTCGGCGTGAAACCATAAAATGACATAATTAACTACAGTGGTATTCATTTTATCCAAATGAAGGGCGTGATATAAGCACCAACTTTACTACGTTCCTTTTTCACCCTTTCTGCTGTTGTAATAAAATACACATTCAACCGCGATACCATTTGATGATTTTTTTAAAAATACAATGCTTAACTGGGCGTGTGCCCGCATGAAAAACATGTTTCTGACTTTTTTTTTCAGACTCATGCCAACTGATGTTTTATATTTTTATCTAATGAATGCACCACCTTAAGGGACATTTCTAGTGAATGATTGCACTATCCGTTAAGAGTCCGGAATATCTTGTGTCGGGGTCCAACGTGGCACGTGCTAAATGCTGTAGATTATATTCGGCAAGTTTTTCGAAACTTTAGTTCCGTGCAGTCTAAATAAACATGTCAAAATTATCACATGATTTATCCCCGCGTGTACTGGCTAGGATACAAAATCTGCGCATTACATTATCTTCAGTGTATCGCTGACCCGGCAATGCAACAAACACACTGATGCTCAGCGAGACTACACGGCAGTGCGGCACTCACGAGTATATCGGCGTCGCCGAAAGCCGGCATTATACGTTACGAACTCTGAAACAACACTCATACATCGATATCGCAAACGGATGGCCGTACTTTTGGAAAAGAAGGGCGCGATCAAGCGAGGTTCGTGACGTCATTGTCCTCCGGGAGTATTTGAGAATGAAGGAAAGAGACCTCGCTTCTCTCCTGCTCGCTTTGGTCCACCAACTCGACCAGACAAAGCGAGGAGGAAAGGGAATGAGAATCGTGGCGTGACCTGTCTGGTCGCCCTCGTCGGCCGTGTTCAATCGCGACCTTCTTAAAAAAAAAATATATATATATATATATATACTTCGACCCGTTAGAGATATCGTTGTTTGAGTGATGCTTTTGGGTTTTGCCGGCGTCCCGCCTATCCTTTCCGGCTTGTTTTGTGAGCTCTAAATATTGGTTAAGTATCCCTTTAAGGCCCCTGAAACACACTCGCGGTGACCCAGACGCTTCCAAGGGGATACTGCAAGGATCTACAAGTTATAGTCCCTCAAAGTTGCTTGCTGGCTTGCGGCTAAAGTGGCGACATCCTTCGGGACAGCAAGTGCTGCTTATTCCCTGCCGTGGCCATCATTTTGCCTTGTGCCTTCGGGCGGGAAAACAAACGCACACTTAAAGTAAAGGGCGGCGTTGCGTGCTCTTGAAGTTACTCCGCTTTATTTCGCAAGTAGTATTGCTCAGAAACTGCGTAAACAGCTAATGAACTCCGGCGTAGCTACGGAGGCAAGATGCTAGCAGACAGCAAGGTTGTCCACTCTAGGAGCGTCGCCAGCACAGCACCACTGATGGACTCTATGCGGAGAACAAGTCGCCTGTATTTTGCGCAGGAGTTGCGGTGACGTCAAAAAGACTGCGAACTTTGATTGGCTTTGACTGAAAGATAGTGTGTAGACCTCAAAGCAAGCTGCCTTGAGGACTACCCAGTATCCTTCATTCAGAGCCAATCAAAGCACAGCGTCGTTTTGACGCCCCCCTCAATCTCAGCAAAAGAAGCAGACGAACTTGCGCTCCGCATAGGCAATGACAACTAAATAAACGCAGGGTGTGACGAGTTTCGAAATTCGTACGGTCGCTCTGCACCCAATGAGATTGTAACAATGCGAGATAAGAACCTCAGATAATAACTTATAAAGCAAAAATCTGGGAGGTAATAAGCCAGACATCTCTTGCATTAAATTGTCAATGAGTTTACTACAAGTGGTGGCGTCAGATGGGGAAAGTCGCAGTCCTTGTCTTCTATGGGGTATATGGCGCGCAATTTCTCCTCTTTGCGCAGGGGTTGCGTTGATGTCAGAACGCCGAGTTTTTAATGGCTGATTAAAAAAAATAGGGGGTAGACCTCAGGCGTCTAGTGTTTAGGTCCACCTATTATCCTTTCAATCAAAGCTAATCAGGTTTCGTCGTCGTTCTGACGTCACCGCAATTCTTGCGCAACGAGTAGACGAGTTGCTCTCCGCATTGTCTTAGTCAATGAAAAGGTGTGAGGCCAGGCAAAATCAGATGCGGTCCAACGGAAACCCCTTCAACTGACTTTCTGCTTCTGTCAATTCAAACGCCACCCTCTTTGCTTGCTACGGTTCCTCTCTCAACCTTCTTTTTTGGAAACAAAACTGTTCGTAGATAACATTTTTGCTTTGGTGTAATGGTGACGAACATTGGAGGCGGAGGGTGGTGGCCTGTGTCTCGTTGGAAGATTGCCAACAGGGTTATTTACGTAACACTGATAATAGCCTTCCAACCAATGCCGCACGTGATATGGCTGCGGTACTGGTAAACCTACATCTTATATTCATCTTGAACAAGAAAACCGGAGCACTTCTGCAGACAAATTTTCGCAGTTTGGTTGGATGTTGCTTGAAGTCCGCAATATTACGCTGATCTTCCTAGAACCAATTTAAGCCTTACGGAAGATGAGAATGTTTGGGCCTGTTTGATTGGGCTGATGGCGAGTGGCTTGAACCGTGAGGGGCTGGATCAGATGATGGTACAGCGGTACATGGCTGCAAGGACGCCCATCGAGGCACGAAGGTGGGTACACTCTGTGGCTAAACTTGACCCGCACTATGACGCGATAATACTTTCTCTGAAAGAAATCTCCTGTCGCAATAAAACGTGAGATGCTTAATCACAAATTCTCAGAATATCCAGCATCCGCAATATTCCTGAATACACTCATAGTAATAGGCATTCATGTTAATTTCTTCGACTAAACTAATTAGGTCATCAAGTGTCGTGACGCGAAAATGACAAGGAAGCATCTTCCCTTCAGACTACTGAAATTATGCTGCCCTTATAGCAGGGCTCGTATCATCTTTTACTCATGTTGTTCACAGAAAGTACACTCTCAAAAGGCCCGGCTACATTACCACAGAGTGATCGAAGAACCAATAACTGCGATGTACAAAGGCAGCTTAGCGAGGAAGGCAGAAGGTTCAAGACTAAAAATGGGGTCTACGATATATCACTCTGCATGGTGCGAGCATGCAGAGCGTAATGCGCAGTGCCATATCGTAGACACTTTTAGGGCTAAGCATATTTCTGTACTTGTCACTCTTCGATTTCTTTATGTACTACGAGGTCCCGGAGCCTGCTGAAGCATTTAAAGTGCCCGCATAAATCAGCTTCGTAACGTATCGCGCTACGATTTTCCACAGAGGTGCACGAAGGGGGAGGAAGCATCGCATAAAATTTTCAAATAAAAATATACCTAAGAAGAAAGTAAAGAAAAACCCTAACCGGTTTTCTCTACCTACGGCGTCTGTCTGCTAACCGGGCACCCTGTGACAGGCCAAACTACCGACAGATGGCGGCAGCGGTCCCGGTGGCTCAGAGGCTCTGCGGGAGCATGGCAGGGCCGCTGCCGCCATTCGTTGGTTGCAACATTACTAGAACTCCTCAGTTGCGAAACTGCCATAGAGCCTGCTTTAAAAAAGTGGCTCCGATCGGTACTCGAGAACCGAGCTAATGGAGATCGCAACTCCGCCATTGCTCCCATAGCGTCCACTCCGGGAACTGCACGGCTGCACGTCGAGTCGGGCAAGAGCCGGTGGCTCCATCTCGTAGGGCCATTTCTCAGCAGTTATGTAAAGCAACTTTCATGTTTCAACTCGTTGCTAAAGGGTGGCGCTGTTCTCGTATTTAGCTCAGTTTCGGTGGACGCCAGCGGCCCAGGTTTCAAGGGTGAGTTTCCCAACTGAGGGTAACGTTGTTCGGTTGTAAGACCATTGAAAGGGTGCGCTGTCATCAGACGGACGCCGCATGTCAATAAAAACGAGTTAATTTTTTTTTTTACTTTTTTTACTCAGGTGTGTTTGTTCATTGATTTTCGATGCGGTGCGTTTACCGCCTCCGGCACTTTGTGATAATTCGCAGCACGATACGTTACCAATCCTATTTATGCGGCCACTTTGAAATCTTTACCCGGCTTCGGGACCTCCCTGTACAATGCAGTGATTCGCTTTACGAGTGTGTTGCTGGAAAGTGGAAATTATAATTTTTTAAGTGCACGGAAAAGCTGCGTGAGAGTGATATTTGAACGACACAATATGTTCGAAATTACATTGAAAAATATGCCGGCATTTATTTTGTATGAAAGTCGACTCTTCACATGTGAATTTTTCTCCTTCTGCTTTCAAGTATTTATGGGAATTTCCTTAAAAGTAATAATATATTCGCATATCAACTATAGTTGAGCCTGCTTATATCGACCCTTGGTATTTCAAAAAACTGTTAATTGTGGATCGACCAACATTTTCTAAAAGAAAAACGTATAAAATCACAGGCTCCTTGTGCGTTTTTACCGAACCTCGCCCCCGGTGCATTAAGCCTATCGAACTGCGCGCCGGACCCCTGGTAGGGTGGCTTTACTCGAGCACAATCGTCGCTGCCTTGAGGATCTGGTCACAGTCACCTAAAGGCACACGCAGGCAGGGGAGAAATAAAAACACCTCCTCGACTTTAGCCTATTATAGGTAGCTAGACGTCAGAATAAATCCAATAATTACCTAGAATTTGTTCATTACTTATTAATTAGTTAGAATAAAGATATGATTTCAATAATAAACTTGCTGAACGTCATCAATAACTACTAAATAAGCACATGATAAAAATATTTGTGTCCCATGAAAATCGCAGTTGCCCACTAATATTACCAACCATGCAACGGGCCCAGGCAAAGCGTGTGAAACCGCACCATCGCGGTTTTTCCGTCACACATCATTTGTATTTTTCCGCCCGTTACACGAATCATAACTAGCGCACTCTACTTTTTTTCTTTCTTGCTAAATGAAGGGTTTCTGATGACGCCTAGCGAAACTTCTTAATTGAAACCATACGTTTATTTTTACAAATACAATAGTTGATTAAGAAAGCTTAGTTATTAATTTGACTTAGCGTGCCGATGATTTCAAATTATATTGTTCTCATGGGCGTACAGATTACCTGTACAGATTGCATTATTGCACCTTGCAACGTTTCTTTTAAAATAACACTGTGCTTAAAACGCACCTTGTGTATTTTCTAAGCCAATTCATTTACAACTTTAGCCAATTAGTTTTAAATGAAACTGTGAGATTTTTGCAATATGTTGAATTTCGGATTCTTTTGGTATTTTGAGAATTTATCTATTACCGCCCAAATTTATAGTATATATACTTTATGCAGGACAGCGCTTTTCGGAACAGCGTTGACTTTGATCTACATGGTGCTTATGAGTCTGATGGCACTGGCACTTCTTTACTGGTACCACGACTGCGATCCCTTGATGACAGGGCATATTTCCAAGTTAGATCAGGTAAATGGAGTTTCTACTCGTGGGGAGTATTCAATCTAGCTTAACGCGTTCCAGATAATTGACCGTGTGACCTATTTTTCGGAATATTATCATGAAGGAAGAAGAAGTTCGGTGGCTCCGGACAGATCAGGAAGTGAGGAGGCAGAAGTGAAGACATCCTGACAACTGCCACTTTTCAAATGCTTCCCATCCCTCTTGTATATTAAATCATTTCATTTATCACCGTGACATTTTGGTGGAGGTGCGAAGCCATCCCCCTGACCTCTTCTACACCACACTGGAACTCCGGAACCGACAGCTACCGACTTCAGTCCAGATGTCTACGTCGAACACCCCACCCGAGGAAACTCCTCCTTCGCCATCACCGGCCCTTGTACTCTCAAAACCGCGTGACCCAGGAAACTTCAGCGGATCCGGTGAGCAAGATGTCGAGGAATGGCTACTACTTTATGAGCGCATCAGCAGGCACAACCGGTGGGACCCAACCATCATGCTCGCCAACGTGATTTTTTACCTCAAAGATACAGCCCGAACCTGGTGTTTAACGCATGAAGAAGGCATCACCTCGTGGGACACGTGCAAAGAACAACTCCAACACCTTTTTGGCGACCCGATCGGACGAAAGCTCTCGGCTAAGCGGAAGCTTGCTTCGCGCGTGCAGACACCCACAGAATCATACATAGCGTACATCCAAGACATCCTTTCGCTCTGCCAAAAAGCTGACCCCATCATGCCTGACTCTGAAAGAGTGCCTCCCATCTTGAAAGGCATTGCAGATGATGCTTTTCAACTTTTAGTTTTCAAGGATTGCGCAACAGCAGATGCAGTTATCAAGGAGTGCCGTCGATTCGAAGAGGCGAAAAAACGTCGCATCACAGCGAATTTCATCCGCCTCCCGAACACAGCACCAACATCATCATGCGAGGACCCAACTTCTCAGAGTCATCATATAGCAAAAATTGTCCGACGTGAACTTGAAGCAATGGCGCCTTCCAGTTCTCTACATGCACCTGCTGAACCGGAACCCGCCGTGCCCATATCAACTGTGCAAGCTATTGTAAGAGAAGAAATGAATAAGTTTCACGCACCGACATACACAACCGGGCGCCGCTTTCCTCTTGTCCACCAGACTCCTAACTCCCCTCCCCCTGGCAACTTCTCGTACCGACGTGACCCCGCAGCGTGGAGGACCCCTGATAATCGACCTATATGCTTCCACTGCAGCGGCGTGGGTCATATCCAACGCTACTGTCGAAACCGGTCGAGCAACGGCCTCCGATCATCCGAGTCGAATGGTTATCGTCCCTCCTTTGACGGCCGATTCCGTGACCGTCCAGCTACAACACGTTCAGACGACAACCAGTACACTATGGCCTCCCGCAACTGCCGTTCTCCGTCCCCACTCCGCCGCCAGTCATTGTCCCCCGCGCACCGCCGCTACATGTCGCCGACCCGTGACCACGCAGCATCGGAAAACTAACCAATGCAGCTTTTCGAGGTAAGACTGCATCGAGGTCATTGACCCGAAACCCTCTCAACAAACACTCCTTAACAGTTCATAATCAGCTTCGTGTATCTATCGACGGAATTGCCATATATGCTCTCATCGACACCGGTGCTGCTATTTCTATAATGAGAGAGGATCTACGACAAAGACTTCATAAAGTCTTAACGCCGCCAGACTCTACATCTCTACGAGGCGCAGATGGTCATCTGATATCTTCTCTTGGCATGTGCGGTGCACGTATTGCCCTAGAAGACAAGAAAACGTTCGTCCTTTTCACCGTCATTCAAACTTGTCCCCACGCTTTGATTCTCGGATGGGATTTTCTCTCCGCCCACGCCGCTCTCATTGACTGCGCCACAGAAAATATTGAACTCGACGTATCATCCCCAGACGAGCCCCAGCCGGTAGTTTTAAAGCTATGTTCAGTCGAAACATGCCGAATTCCACCTCTTCTAGCGGTTCCCGTTAAGGTGTCATCAAATAGCCTTCTTGTGGACGGAGATTATATAGTGTCTCCAAGTATGGACGTATTATTCACCAAGCAACTCAGTGTGGCCCACTCCATCGTTTCCGTCCTCAATGGTTCCACTTCCCTCTGGGTCGTTAACATTTCCCAGAACCCACAACTTCTTGCAAGTGGAACTTCTCTTGCCATCACATCGCCGTTGTCCTCCGGAACACTATCTGTTAATGCAGTGGATCAGCAACATGATCGCCCAGGCTCGCCACCAATCTCCGACCTTAACAAAATAACGGCTATGATTGACTCTGCACTGGATACCACACGGAAACATCAGATACAAAACCTTTTGCTCAAATACCGCGACGTTTTCGATTTGGGAAGTCGCCCTCTAGGACGAACGACGGCGATTAAACACCAGATTAACACCGGAACACATCCACCTCTACATCGGACGCCTTACCGCGTTTCCCGCAGTGAACGGCGAATAATCCAAACAGAGGTCGATAAAATGATTGCACAAGACATTATACAACCATCCTCAAGTCCTTGGTCATCCCCAGTCGTTTTAGTTAAAAAGAAAGACGGGTCCTGGCGTTTCTGTGTAGACTATCGTCAGCTAAACAAGATCACAAAAAGAGATGTGTATCCATTACCTCGAATTGATGATACCTTGGACTCCCTACATGGTGCAAACTACTTCTCCACTATCGACCTTCGGTCCGGATACTGGCAAATCAGCGTGGACGACTCAGACAGAGAAAAAACGGCTTTCATCACGCCAGACGGGCTTTACTAGTTTAAAGTCATGCCCTTTGGGTTGTGCAACGCCCCGGCCACTTTTGAAAGAATGATAGACCGACTTCTAAAACCCCTAAGGTGGACAACTTGTCTATGTTACTTGGACGATGTGATCATTTTTTCTACCTCCTTCTCATCTCACCTCGAGCGCCTAGATCACGTCTTGAACATTTTCAAGCAAGCAAATCTTCAGCTAAATTCGTCAAAATGTCATTTCGCTGCCTCCGAACTCAAAATTTTGGGTCACCTAGTCAACATGCACGGCATCCAACCAGATCCAGATAAGACAAAGGCAGTCCAGGAATTTCCCACACCACAGTCTCCAAAGGATGTCCGAAGCTTCCTTGGACTGTGCTCATACTTTCGACGCTTCATCTACCAATTCGCCCACATTGCTCAGCCTTTGACGCAAGTCCTCAAGAAGAACCAGCCCTTCCTATGGAAAACAGAACAGGACGTCGCTTTTACTCGTTTAAAGGACGCTTTAACCACCAGTCCCATTTTGGGGCACTTCGATGACTCTGCTCCAACTGAACTGCGCACGGATGCCAGTGGTCATGGCATCGGAGCTATACTAGCCCAGCATCAGTCGGGACAGGAGTGCATAATAGCTTACGCCAGCCGTACTCTTTCCCCAGCAGAGCAAAATTACACAATAACCGAGCGTGAGTGCCTTGCGGTCGTATGGTCGATCGCAAAATTTCGTCCATACTTATTTGGCAGGCAGTTCTCTGTGATCACTGATCATCATGCCCTCTGCTGGCTCTCCTCCTTGAGAGATCCCATCGGCCGCCTTGGACGCTGGGCCTTACGTCTCCAGGAATATGATTTCAAAGTCATCTACAAGTCCGGAAAACTTCATCCCGATGCTGACTGCCTATCTTGTCATCCCGTAGGCCCTGTTGACCAAACCGCTGACAACTCGGATATTCCTATTCTTCACGTCTGTCATTGGCCTAACATCGCGGACGAACAACGCCGTGACCTCTTTCTGAAAAAAAATCATAGAAGCAGTGACCACCGATGCCAACTCGCCATCCTCCAGATATTACACGATCCAGAACCATATACTTTATAGACACAACTTTCGACAAGAAGGTCCATCTTTACTTTTGGTAATTCCAAAACACCTACAAAGTACGGTTCTCGGTGAACTCCACGACGCACCATCCGCCGGTCATATGGGTGTCCTTCGAACTTACGCGCGCGTAAAGCAGCGATTTTACTGGCCCGACATGTACAGGACCGTCAAACGTTACATCTCATCCTGTGACTCCTGCCAGCGCCGCAAAACTCCACCGTTACGACCCGCTGGCCTTCTACACCCACTCACTCCCCCAGCTTCCCCTTTGACCGAGTAGGAATTGACCTTCTTGGTCCGTTCCCAACTTCCTCGCTGGACAATCGCTGGATAGCGGTTGCCATTGACTACGCTACCCGCTATGCAATCACCAAGCCATTGTACAGCAGTACAGCCGTGGATGTAGCGCAATTTATTTTAGAGGAAGTAATTCTGAAATACGGTGCCCCTCGACAACTTCTATCTGACCGTGGCCGCCCCTTTGTGTCCCGAATTGTTGCCGAAATATTGAACCTCTGTTCTGTCGTTCACAAGAAAACTACCGCATACCATCCACAAACAAACGGACTTGTCGAACGCATTAATAGGACATTGGCAGATATGCTCGCTATGTATAATTCCGCAGAGCATCGTAACTGGGATTCCGTTCTTCCTTTCATCACATTCGCCTATAATTCGTCCCGCCATGACACAACAGGATTTTCACCATATTATCTACTCTTCTCTCGGGAACCAAATTTGATCATTGACACTCTTCTTCCAGTTCCAACTACTGCCGAACTCACCGACCACACCACACAAGCCATATGTCGAGCCGAAGAAGCGCGTCAACTTGCACGCCTTCGAACTCTGGACTCACAACAACACCAATCTGTTCGATACAACAAATTCCACAGGTCTGCGTACTATTCCCCGGGCGACCTTGTCCTGGTATGGACACCTAAGAGACATGTGGGCCAGGCACAAAAATTACTTCCACGCTACTCCGGGCCATACCGCGTCCTCGCCCGAAGAAGTGACCTCACCTACCTTGTTCAGCCCGTACAACCACCACAAAACTCACGCCAATCTTCAGCCGACACCGTCCATATAACAAGACTAAAACCATACCTACTACCACCAAACGGCGAGACGCCGCTTTCACCCGGAGGGGGGTAATGTCATGAAGGAAGAAGAAGTTCGGTGGCTCCGGACAGATCAGGAAGTGAGGAGGCAGAAGTGAAGACATCCTGACAACTGCCACTTTTCAAATGCTTCCCATCCCTCTTGTATATTAAATCATTTCATTTATCACCGTGACAATATTTTATATCAACACGCAATAAAATATACATTTAAGTCCATTCTGAGACACTGATGTGTTGATAACGTTTACGTAATGCCTCTAAGTCGATAGTTATTTTCTGAGCGGCAGATGCAGGGTGTTTTAAACAGAAAGGTGATATTTATATTAATTCATGAAAACATCAGCTCTCTTTGCAAGTGCAGTACTAATTTTATATTGAAAGAAACGTATGATATAGTTTGAAGTCAAGGACCACAACGCTTTTGGCATATTCACAAAAAAATGCTTTTTTATTTTCAGATACTACCGTATTATGTCCACAAAGAACTAAAGATTTTCCCAAGCTTTACGGCTCTTTTTCTAGCGGGCGTGGTGAGCTCGACACTGAGGTAATTCACTATGCTATTCAGCCGCAAAGAGACGATACAAATTTGTTCGTAAACTCAAATTTGCATGACATTTTTAGTAATGACGTTTTATTACGTTATTTGAAAAAAAAACAATAATGACTTAAATGGATAAGAATAAAACAATCAAATGCTATGATGTCAAAGTCAAAGACGATAATGCACGCACATTGTCTGTAACTGTTATTTTCAGCACAATTTCATCCGCAATCAACACCCAGGTTGCAGTTTGCTTTGTTGACGGAGTGATGCCATTCTTCAACGTAAAAGACGTTCTGGCAGTAAAACTCACAAAATGCATCGGTAAGTATTGTGCAAACCACGTGCTTCCCGTCTCCCTATCCACAGGCAGGCCCCAAGGTGCCGCCATGTCGGGGCCCGTCCCGGAACCGAGGCGGGGCCGTATTTCCTTGTGGACGGCTCTTCCTTGCCCTCTCGGGTGAATTGCTTCAGTCACGCCCTTCGGGACCTTGATACGTAAACGTGTCCTAACCTGCGGGGAGCGAACCTACTAGTGACAACCCGTGAGCGTCCATTCCCGCAGCTTATATAAGCCGGCCCTAACGAACGGCCGGAAGATGGCGTCGGGGGAGGGTTTTGCTCCGCGCAGCTCTGTTTCAAGCTCTTCCCCTTTCCGTGGTTCTGTCGATTACGACCGCTCGAAGTCCGACCGGAGATCCTGACACATTGAGACAGTGCCGATTCGTCGAATGTTACCGAGGCCAAAGCATGTTGGCACTTGAGTCAATAAACACGTCGTTCTTCGAACCAACAGACGAACTGCGTTGTCTAAGTGGTATCCCCCCTTCCCAAAGGGGAAAGAAACCCACATTTACGGCCCCAACGCAAAACCTGTCCAACGAAAGCAAAAAAAAAAAAGGTATGTGTTCGTTTATAGAGCCGGAAGTTAGTCTGGCTTTACTGAGCGTCTCCTGTCTCAGCTGTAGATGAGCAATTTAGCCAGTGCGGTACAACCGCTACCGTGGGGTCTTGAATGTCTTGGTTTAGAACAGCGCGACATCACAAGGACAAAGTAGAGACGAGACACACTACAGTGCTGACACTTAACTGAAAGTTTATTTCCACCGTTCCCTGAAGATGTACACATGGGCAACATCCAAATATACAGAGTGCGAAAGACACGAAAATATAGAGTGTCCCAAGACACCAAGCTCGAACTTAAATGGAGCGTAAAAATCGTCGCCTGCACATAGAAATCTAACCTTTTCGTCAAAGGTGTATTTCACAGGTCATTGTTTTCTTGTAAAATTACAAAGCGTACTTCTCTTTCTGTAAAAAATAGGGCCAAGAAACTTGCCAGGGTCTACGGCGGGCGGCGACGCAGACGACAAAGTCGAATAGCTGGGCGGATTTGGCGCTCGTACTGACAGATGGCGCTACCTCCTTAACGGGACTGCTCGCGATCACCATGGTTCATTCAAATGAACATACTCTTTTTGTGATGTACCGTTCGTTAAAAATTATTGCGCACAACAAGAGCAAAACGTAAAGTAAAAAAAACGCGTTTGGATAACGATGACGCTTTTCGTGCCAACGAATTTCGTCTGCTTGTCGTCTGCTTCCTTTCGCTAGTCGCCTACATCATCGGACGCTGCTTTAGACGCCATCTATCAATACGCGCGCCAAACGTACACCTTAACTCAAATTGGTCGTATGCGTCGTCGCCCGCCGTTGAGCCTGGCAGATTTCTTGGCCCTTATTTTACAGAAAGAGAGCTACGCTTTGTAATTTTACACGAAAATACTGACCTGTGAAATGCACCTTTGACGAAAAGTTACGGATTGCCACGAGCAGGCGTTGATTTTTACGATCCATTTTCGATCGAGCCTGGTGACTTGGGACACCCTATACATGCAGTCTCAGCACAATATTATTTAGATTATATATTGCTGTGTAATAGTCGGTCCTTAACCTGCACCAGTCAGGGAACAAATATCTTAATCGGAAAGACCAATGGAGGCCGTGCTGACACATTTTCCTTTTAGCTTGTTTAAATCGTTAGCTTACATCATCTCTCGAGTTCGATTGTCATCGTTTCTTTTGAGTATTTAGAATTTTTGGTAGCCAAGGGTGCATCCAACAGTCACGGCAGTTAATTCCCAAATGACCGGAGGTTTATTGTGTTGCATTATTCTGATGTTACCTAAATCGGTCATTAATGCATGCATTCTTTGCGTATTTTGCTCTTTCTATATTTGGTTGCTGCTCGCGTGCACATTTACTGGGAGCGGTGGAAATAAACATTTAGTTGATAGTCAGTTGTGCCGTCTGTCTCGTATTTACTTTTTCCTTGTCTTGTCGCGCTGTTTTAAACCAAGATGATCATCGACCAACTAGCCCAAACAGTCCTTTGATCAGTATTTCATGTGCACCACGCAGTAGTTATACACGACCGCGCGGCGGAACGATGCTCATCCAGATCGAAACTGGCAGGGGTGTGGATTGAACCCAGGATCCCAGGGTTCTGCAGCGCGAGCTTTTGCTCCACGTGCTCCGAGCTGGTGTGCGCTAGCCCACTCGGCCACCGATCCCCCTGCAGCAAGCCAAGCAGCATTTATCCTTTCGCAATAACAGCAAACAAGGACAATTTCCGGCCTTGAATTTCGTAAACGGAGGAAGAGGCACATGCACAAAACATGGCGCCACTTAACGGCTACGCACGGACACAATGAACAAGTGTCTTTCGATCTGATATCCGTCAAATGGAGGAGACTACTGCACAAAGAAGCAGCACCTGTTCGGTTTTCGAACACAGAGTAGGCGGACTGATTGAGTGGCTAAGTGCCCAGCACCCGATGTCAAATAACGACTTCTTGGCGTTGTTTTCCGAGCGTCCTTCCCAACGAAGGTGATTCAAAATGCTCGGAATACACCGGGGCACTCTCGACAGGACCGCCAAGGCGTGAACGAAAGAATAACGCTCGTCTGGAGTCGAAACGTGCACGACACCGCATATCGTGCACTTTATCAGCCGTGCTTGCGCCAGAGTTATTGCGTACCCCTCTACGCCGCAGCAACGGACCAACGGTCAACATGTTGACGTCGCTACCTTCCCGGATTCAAAACCGAGATCGAGCTCCATAGAGAACTGAGTGAGTCATTCCAGTATTCTACTACGCATTTCCGTCCCGCCATGGAGGAACAACAGGATTTTCGCGGCATGGTTTTCGGTGATCGAAATTTTAAGATTTCTCAATTACCCGCGACTGACTCGGGCGAAAGCCAAGAGCGTCGCATGTAATGATGACATAAGGAACCTTTGTGTGCCACCCAACGAGTTGGGACTCCGTAAAAACGAGGTAAATCTCTAGAACTCTGCGGAGTGAGGCAGCAGTTTAACCTGCACTACCGGACAAGCGACAGATGTTTGAACAGGGTCCAGAGCATGTGGTAGAGACCGCGCCATAATTGCGTACTCATTAAAGTGATCGCCATGTGGTCACTGAACAAGATGGTGAACCATGGCACTTGAAGGGTTTCTTGGGGAATCCACCGCAGCGCCGAAGAATTTTGATGCTCAGCAGAACAATCCGGGTTGTAAATACGCGAATAGCTGTAAATACTTTCGCGGACTCTGCGGAGTCGGGTGGTGCGTCCGCCGTGCGGTACGCTTGCCAGTTGCCACTAACGTCGCGAAGAAACTGGAATTGTTGCAAACGGGCTTCGGCAGCCGGGCACTGTACCTGACGTGGCGAGCAACTCGTGTTGTTGCCCACGGGTGTCGTAAGCAGTCTCCTATTGCTGTTGGCACGGGGTGTTTCTTTGGAATCGGTTTTTGTTCTTGCTGATGCGAATGAACTCTACAAATATTGCAGTTCATGGTGGCTGTTCCGCGCGGCCGAGTGGTGCATTCGGTGCTCTCTTTAGTGCTTGAGTAGGCCAGGGCAGCTCGCGGCTCCAAGATGTCTCGAGGTTATGTCGCTATGCTAACATAGCCACCGGCATTTGAGGAATACTGAATATATGAACCTCCGTCAGGCACTGAATCAACGAGAGCGTTCTAGCTAAGGTAAAAACTAACTTGTTTGAAAAATAAGTATGTTGGCGAGCCGGATCGATTGCAGCCCCGCATCGCTTCAGTACTACAAAGAAGTACAGGGTGGCGCATTTGACATTTTATTGCGCCGCAAATCGAAGCGACAAGGTATCGTTAGCAAATGCGGGTACAAAAACTTCGCCTCGACGAGTCGTCACCCAAAAATCTATTGTCTCGGGTGATGCGAGTCTGCTTGGTACATGGGCATCCGTGTCCCCATTAAGAGGAGTCGTGGAACACTTTTCACGATAACCTCGAAAGCAAGCCAGTGCAATGCACGTGATTCGCAGCAGAAAAGACAGCTCTCTATTCTATCCCTGGGGCTTTTTGGACCCGGAGATTGGATCGGAAAGTTTATCGATTGTCCTCGATTGCACGGCACGACGTTTCGAATTTTCCGAATGTTTCCTACCCCTTCCTGAAACAAAGGGAAGAGGGTGGAGCGCGCGAGGTGCACTCTATAGTGGCCGGCGGTTCATGAATCATCCCGCAGCCCACGAGGAGGACAACAAAAGGCGCAAAGTCATCCTCGCCGGGGCTGCGGTCCTGCAAAGCTAGCCAATACTTTTCTGCAGACCAAGATTGCAGCAACTGTCCTACGGGGCGCACATTGTTAACGCGCAGGCGATACACACCCCCTAGTAAATACGCTCACGCCGGATTGGTTGTTTTGTGGATAGAGACGCTGCCGCCGTCATCATAAGCTGCGAATTACAACCCGTTAACGAAGCGGTATTGTAGCTTTGTGGTAAGATGTCTGCCTCGCCAGTGGACCCTGGTTCGATCCGCAGTGTGGGCTTAACCTTTTTTTTTTTTCCCTTTTTTATCGAACATTTTGTTTTGTCGAGGCATTTGGCGAAATTTACGACGTTTCTTTTTTTACGATGAACACTAAGAAAAAGAAACACCAAAAACACGAATGTTGTTGATGAAATTTCGCTGAACTCAAGGGGAATGGGACTCTATTTCCGGAGGAGCGGTGGGCAAAGCGGGGCTTGGGTTGCCGGCTGGACGAATACGCGGGGTGGGTTAAGTCGGTTAATAGTTTGGTAACTTAGAGCCGCATACGGTCACCACAAAGCGACGTGAACGCAGGCGGGGGTGAGTTAACGCACTCCCGAGTTATACCCTCGCCGTCCGAATTCGAAATTTAAGTTCCCGCGCGTAGTCGAGCAGCCAAACCGGCGTGAGGGTCGCTGCTACGGGGTCTATCACCTGAGCGCTAGAAAAACGCCTCCGGGGCCGGGAAAAGATGAATATTTAGAGCTTTGGATCACGAAGCGGGAAACGTGAAACGTCACGTGACCATTGACGTGACTTGTCTCCCATCAGATTTCTCTGGGACCCGTTGTCTTCATTTTTGCGGCTTGGTTTAGACCGCGCTTTACGGCGTGACTTTGGGACAAGGATGCTGCATGCGCCCGTCTGCATGCACCGTGCCAGGTTTTTTTTTTTTTTTCGTTTTTTTTTCTTGCATGGCGCTGTGCTTTTTTTTTTTTTTTGTCGTTTATTTTTTTTTTGAGCGTCGGTGGTTTTTTTACTGGTTTTTAATTTGCACCGAACCTGAGCGCACTGAACGTAGTAACTCAGTGAAACTTTTCTCGAAATTCGCTTTATGTTAAAAGTTATAGGCAAATTAAACTTTAAAAAACGAGCAAAAAATAACCTCCCTCATGAGGTCTTTGGTTGCTTGTGTGGCCGCGAACTAGAGGAGCAGTAGTGAGACCAGCGGGCGTTCACGGCTGCCGCAATTCGTGTCGACGGCGCGAGAGGGCGCCACTAAAGCATGCTCTAGATAGGCTGTATGCAGCGGGCAGCCAGAGCGGCTTTTATTGCATTTGCTGCGCAATTAAAAACTAATTCGGCATGGCACTTCATTGGCCACAAACGACAGCAAACACGGGGTAAAGATCTGTTGAGAATGGGAGCCACATCGCGCTGCCATACCGCGAAACGCTCAAACCGCAAGACAAAGCCTCTCGCCGAAGGCCTTCGGAACGCTCGCAGCCGGTCGGATCCTAATGTCCATACGACCGCAGCGCCGCCGCCTACATCCGGGACCTTTCCATGTCGGCGCGTGATCCCACTACTCCTTTTTAGTATGCGCCGCCTCTTCCACCGCTTGGTGGCAGGTATGTCGACGGGTCACTTTTTGTTTCCGTACTTTATATACTGCATTCGTTTCTTTTGTGATCTAAAATACTGAACAACAACTATTTTTCTAAATAATTTAATCGGTTCGCGCCACTTATATTTTGTATTTCGACTAAAAAGAAGGTTTTAGCGGCTCTGACCAGTAGTAAGCCCAGGAACAAAGACGTCACATTTTGCGTGCTTTCGGTACTGCGGGTCGCCCTCGTCGGTGGAGGAGGTTTCCGCGTCGTCCGGTAAAAATACGACGCACTGATATTTAGTTGCTCTCTCCGTGCCCGCTGGCTTGCCCGAACCCAAGAGACGTGGAAACCGCAAAAATGGTAGGCGCTTAAATATGATTGCAGGGCCCCTCTAAGGACAGGGGAGTGTGCGAACCACGTGTTCCACGGTTCCCTCTATATGCCCAGTTCAGGGCGGCCGTGGGGCGTCGCCATTTGGGGGCCCGTCCCGGAAGCGAGGCGGGGTTGTATTTCCCAGTGGACGGCTCTCCCTCACCCTCCCGGGTGATTTGATTCAGGCACACCTTTCTAGACCTTGATTCTTGGAGGCTTCCGCCCCCCAGGGGGGGAGGGGAACTGCTACCGACAACCAGGACGCGTCCATTTCCGCAGGCTATAGACCGTTCCATTAGGGTCATAGCAGAGAGGGTAATAGAGAAAAAAATGCCCTCCCCCTCTCAACCGTATGTTGTCTGCTCCGCCGAGTGGGCTGTACCTAGCATCCGGCTGGCGTAAAAACTTTGTTTAAAATCGCGTCATTTTGGAAATTTCAAGCGCAGATGCGAAGATTTTGGTATGCCAGTTATCGTGTAATACTATGCTAGATAAAACGACTAACAGGGTTCATTTGCGCTGTTACCTGCGTGCAAATAAAAAAAAAATAGGGAAAACTGTGTCAGATTGGCCGGTCTCTCCGGCGAAAAGTAAATCCTGGTGCTGGTACCTTTTTTACTATACAAAGTTCGTACTGGTGTAGGCCTTTAGCGACCATGAGTGGAAGTCTGAAATAATAAATAAAAACGTGCTCTCCTGCCGCAATCGACGCAGTAGTTGAGGGTAGTACTGCCGGCTGACTCAACTGCTATTTAAGTAACGGAAAAAAGATAAGCTAGTTGATCATTTACCGAAATAGAACAACAGAAAGCTGTAGGCTGATTTTGGAGTAGCCATAACTATTCTAAGGACGCGGACAACTTCACAACGGCAGCCACGAGCGAGGGTTCGATGTTCCGTACAGCCCGCCGGTACAGCCCAAAGCTGGAGAATGGCAACCTCCCGGTTTGTCGTCTACTAGCGGAGTCGGGCGCGTGCCCTCTTTCTCGTTTTACCCCGCCGAACTCGCTGAATTTCCCGGATGTATGGAGAGGGCGCTGCTGTCGAACAAAATGGTGCCGCCCAGAGAGCGCTAAATGGAATGATCTATACAAGCCGGCCCTAAAGAACGGCCGGTGCTCTCGTCGCGTGGGAGGCCTTGCTCTACGGAGCTCTATTTGAAGCTCTTCCCCTTTCCGTGATTCTGTCTATCGCGAGAGCGCGGAGTCCGACAGCGGCGATTCTGTCACATTTTAACAGCGACGATACTTCGGTCCTATTGAGGGCAAAGCGTGTTGCACATGAGCCATTAAACACGTCGCTCTCCTGGCCGACAGAGCAACTGTGTTCCCACGTGGTAACCCCCAAAAAAAGGGAAACCCATAGTGCTCAGGATGTCCTTCCTATATATATATACTCCAAAATATGCGAGAGGGCCGTAAATAATTGAGTTTCTCTCAAGAGACAGAGCGCGCTTTACATTTTCTTTTCCGGGCGTATACTATAAACTGAATATCAATATAAAATCTAACTTCGGGTTTTTACAACTAATTATAACCTTTGAGTAACTGAAAAGTAATAAATATCTAGTAAATTTTAGACCAGTCGAGTGCAGTTTTCTCAAAAACAAAATACATTTTATCAGAAACTTAGACTATGACGGCAATCGTATACGCAATTTTTTACGAAGTCAGCCATGATCTACAGAAGGCAAGCGTGTGATAATGTAGGTAGGAAGAGCGTACAAAAATTATTCAATAAGAACGTCTCAAGCGGACCTCTTCTGTACACCATAAAGTTCAGCATTACCCATCTCGTTCAGTTCCAGTTTGCTCGAATAGCGTTTTTTTTTAGGAAGAGTTTAATTTTAAAACCGAAGAATACATCTAATATATATGACTTATACTTGCAGCCTTTTTCATAGGCATCATAATGACATGCTACGGCATTGCAGTGCCGTACTTGGGCTCAATTACGAGGGTAAGACTGTCACCTTTTTCTTTCTCGCACATTTCATCAAAATGTATTCGTCAAATCGTATTTGAGAGAATCGAAAATATTTAAATTTCATCCCGGACCACAAGGGGCCGTCCCTTTTTATTTGCATAGCATAACCAGTTTCACTTGAACAGCAGGTAATGTGGTCTAGATTGAAAAACATTAGCATTTATTGCATTTCTTTCGTAACAGCTGCTTTTACTGTCAAGTGGAGCTGTTTCTGGGCCTTTTGTAGGCGTAGCGCTCTTAGCGTTCGCATTCCCCTGGACAAACAGTAAGGTAAGTCGTACTCATCCTAATATCTCTTGGATTTGGAAAAAAAAATGCGATTTTCATTTCACCTAATAATACAAATTTAGAACATAATGCAATAATTTAGTTTGCACATTGAACCAACTGTGACTGCAGATGTTTAATGTATCTGCGATTTTGTTTTTAGCAGGTAATATATTGATCAAATTGAAGAATGCGTAAGTGTACGAATTTCACACAGACTTACTGAGCTGAAAGTGACAGTGGGGTGAAATATATTTTCTTCTTTAATCAGTAATACGTCTAGCTTTCGCCATATGATAATCATAATAATAGTATTACTTTATAGTGATTTATTGAGTTTCGGCCGGAGGAGCAAAAGGCAAGCTAATTCGTCTGACCGGCCGTGGGGACAATAACATCAGCATGAAAGTTTGTTTTAAGTGCACGACAGCAAACCACAATATGATATGCACACTCTTACTAGCAGCGCCAATCACGCAATGCCATATTATTAAAAAAATCATAACTAACGAAGACAAAGCAAATCCACAAAATTAAACATGATTTCATGTACACATGAACAGAATCACAGCCATCACAGTAAAAAGAAACACAGAAAAAAAACAGTAGTTTAACAAGAAGTAATTCTATGCAATATTTTTAAATGTATAAAGTAATGTTGAATTTAAAACCATTTCTTGAATTTCTCAGAAATGTTCAAACCTTCTGCTAGTTGATATTCTGAGTTTTGTAAGCCATAAATTCGTGTGTTTGTGTTCACATAATTTTTAGTTCTAAGGTTGTACTACGTTTATTTTCGTTCATATAGGCTAAGAAGCC